AGGACTTTGTAAATAGTTAGTTTATTAGTCACAGATAATTTAGAACGTCTGTCAAGTAGCCTAGAAAGAAGTCCGTATCGCTGATTAAGTTCTTTTCTTTTTTGTTTTATGTGGTATGTCCATGTCAGTCGTTTGTCCAAGTAGAGGCCCAACAACAAGAAGAAATAAATAGGTTTTATATATTTCATATAACGCAAATCTTTAGGCGTGAATATCTCCTAAACAAAGCGTTTGCAGACATACTTTCAGAGGAAATTTGTTTCTTGGTTTGAGGTCCTTAGTTCATTTTTGCAGTTTGGCCATTTAACCCTGAAACACTCTGTATAAGACAACATATATGTGTATACATTGGCTTATATATACATAAATATAATATACATATATATACTATATATATACAATAGACATATACATAATGTCTTATATACAGATTAATAACTATGTATTAATCTTTTACTATGTATTACTTTTTAGCCCAGTCAGATTAGACATGTTACATTGCAAAAGGTCAATTGTTAAGTACGTATTTGGTAAAAATCCAAGTTTTCGCCCTTGAAAGCAGGTTCGTTGCAGAGCTCCAAAAACCATTGAAATTGCTAACTTATTTTCGTTTACTCTAAATATCTCCTTTTTAGAGCGACATAGATAAAAATTGTTGTATTTAATCTTAAACAGCTTAAAATTATTTAACATTTTAGTACATATCATTTTTTTTTTAACCCCAACAGGAAGCAAACTATCAAGCTTTCAAAATTTACCTATTTCGATTTCTGCACAATTGTATTCTTCAGTTAGGAACCGAAGGATTCTGTGACTATTTTTTGAACTTTTTTCAGAGAACTCAGAGGTTTTCCTTGAAGATAATGAGCCATTGACCAGAACGGTAGATGGTAGTTGGGAGTTGTAACTATTAGATAAAAAAAAAAAAAAAGGCCATATTCTCACAAAAAGTGGCAGCACTGTCCCAAAATGGTGTCCAAACATGGCGGATTGGTGTCTTTGACTTGAGTTAATTTTTCGTTTACTGAGATTCAGCATTTGGCTTAATTTCATCATAATCGATTTTTTATTAAAGCTTGATAGTCAAAGAACAATAAAGCATGAAAAAAATATTAAAAACTAATTGGCTTGGCAATAAAAAACAGCAGTGAATTCAATTTTTTCATGTCGTTCAAAGTAAAGTTTAAAATCAAACGTCGTTTGTAAATAAACGGAAAGACCTATTTGGACTTACGGAGTTGAGCTATGGGGCTCCACTAAACCATCGAATTCCTCTCGCATCCAATCCTTACAATCCAAAATTCTTCGTAAAATCCTCAATGCTCCTTACTTTGTCATTAATAAAATTACCCACAAAGATCTTAATGTTCCTTATGTTTCAGATCTGGCCCAATCCAGACATCTATCCTTCCATAATAAACTTCAGAGTCATCCCAACCCTCTCGTTTCTAACCTTGCTTCGTCTTCAATTCCTAATAGCCCTCCGAGGCGTCTGAAAATAAGATGGCCCCGTGATCTCCTAATATAGTCATATCATTAGAGTGCTACCATTGGGTAGTTACTCAGCAAGTGTATTCATGTCATTATATTTATTATGTCCAAATTTACTTGATGTATTTAATACAGTTGTAAATGTCATTAAGAAATAAAAAAAAAAAAAATAAACGGACAACATTAACGAAAAACAACCTGAAATAAAACATCTGGAAAATACATTTCTCTTTTTAAAACACTAATTACTTTTTAAAATATTTAAGCAGTTACTTAGAAAATACACTTTATAGGCGCCTAGAGTCCTCTTCCACATCATTCAGTATTCATAAATGGGATATTAACGTTATAATAATATAATAATGTTTTTAGTACACTATTTTGAGCGTATTAACGAACAAATAATAATACAATAATTTAATTGTCAAAAAAATTTTTTTTTTGTTTTTACTTCCTATATTGTAGTATAACATTATGATTATGCCATTTATGATTACTAATTGATCTGGCATAAATATGGCATTAAAAGTAACAAGAAAAACAGTAATTTCTGATGACCAATTTTATAAAAATAATTGGAAAACAGTAAAAATAAAATTATAAGGATTTTTTCGAATTTCAAAACATCAATTCCTTTTTATCCATTTGCATTTGAGTTGTTAATTTTAGAAGGATATGTTTCCTATAAAAGTTGTAGTGAATTGTGTATGATTTAATATTTAACTTAAAAATTTGATCTAAGTCACCTATAAAAATAAAAAATTGTACATTTTTTTGCAAATTTTTAAAACAGCCCATTTTGAAATCTCGGTAGTGCGCTTCCTGTTGGGTTAAAAAAAAACGTTATGTACATAAATGTTTGATAATTTTAAGCTATTTAAGATTAAATATAACTATTTTTTATCTATCTTGCTTTAAAAAAGAGATATTTACCTTAAACCAAAAAAAGTTCAAAATTTCAATAGTTTTTGAGGGCACTGCAGCGAACCCACAAGACCACTAGCGGATCCAGGATTTAATTTTGGGGGGGGAGCTTCAGCCCGAAAGCTTTTTCTTTTCATAAAAATTACGATAATTACTTTGGAAAAAAAGAAAGAAACTAACTACCTATATGAAATGGTGTTTAAGTGATTCCTCAAGTCCTTTTAAATGTAATTATACGAACAATAAATACTATAAGATATAATTTTTTAATATATTTTTCCATAAAACATGGTTATATTTTACCATTTTGGGAGGGAGAGGGCTTCAGCCCGAAAGCCCCCCTCCCCCGTAGATCCGCCCGTGCACAGACAACACATTGGACAAGACTTTCAACTTGGACTTTTTATATTCACTACATACCTTACAATATTTCTTTATTATTAAATTATTCATCAAAAAATATTACAATTTGTCTCAAAGGACAACCTAACAATATAAAAAATAAATTTGAATTACCCAACCTTTTGCAAGGTAGACCCCTGTTTTGTGCAAATTTGACTGGACTAAAGGTGTTTATTCCGTATTCTTTATCGAGGAAAGATAAATTAACTCGCAACATACATGCATTTTTTTATTTATTTGATTTAAAATTTGGTTAAGTTAAGATAAAAATTGAACAAAGTCTGGTTCGGTGCGTTCATCACACAACTTTCACTTACCAGCCTACTCTTCACTATTAACTCCGCTTACAATGATAGACAATTTCAATGAGAACACAGGCGGATTTACGGAGGGAGGGCTTTCGGGCTGAAGCCCACCCTCCAAAACCGTAAAATATAACCATGTTTTATAGAAAAAAAATATTAAAAACTATCTCTTAAAGTATTATTGTTCGTGTAATTACATTTAATAGGACTTCAAAAATCACTTGAACATCATTTCATATAAGGTAGTTCATTTCTGTCTCTTCTCTTTTTTTTCAAATTAATTATCGTTATATATATGAAAAAAAATCTTTCGGGCTGAAGCCCCCACCGAAACCGTAAAATATAACCACGTTTTATAGAAAAAAATATTAAAAATTATCTCTTAAAGTATTATTGTTCGTGTAATTACATTTAATAGGACTTCAAAAATCACTTGAACATCATTTCATATAAAGTAGTTCATTTCTGTCTCTTCTCTTTTTTTTTCAAATTAATTATCGTTATATATATGAAAAAAAATCTTTCGGGCTGAAGCCCCCACCGAAACCGTAAAATATAACCACGTTTTATAGAAAAAAATATTAAAAATTATCTCTTAAAGTATTATTGTTCGTGTAATTACATTTAATAGGACTTCAAAAATCACTTGAACATCATTTCATATAAAGTAGTTCATTTCTGTCTCTTCTCTTTTTTTTCAAATTAATTATCGTTATATATATGAAAAAAAATCTTTCGGGCTGAAGCCCCCACCAAAACCGTAAAATATAACTACGTTTTATAGAAAAAAATATTAAAAATTATCTCTTAAAGTATTATTGTTCGTGTAATTACATTTAATAAGACTTCAAAAATCACTTGAACATCATTTCATATAAAGTAGTTCATTTCTGTCTCTTCTCTTTTTTTTCAAATTAATTATCGTTATATATATGAAAAAAAATCTTTCGGGCTGAAGCCCCCAACAAAACCGTAAAATATAACCACGTTTTATAGAAAAAAATATTAAAAATTATCTCTTAAAGTATTATTGTTCGTGTAATTACATTTAATAGGACTTCAAAAATCACTTGAACATCATTTCATATAAAGTAGTTCATTTCTGTCTCTTCTCTTTTTTTTCAAATTAATTATCGTTATATATATGAAAAAAAATCTTTCGGGCTGAAGCCCCCACCAAAACCGTAAAATATAACCACGTTTTATAGAAAAAAATATTAAAAACTATCTCTTAAAGTATTATTGTTCGTGTAAATACGTTTAATAGGACTCCAAAAATCACTTATACACCATTTCATATAAGTAGTTCATTTCTTTCTCTTCTTTTTTTTTCAAATTAATTATCGTTATATATATGAAAAAAAATCTTTCGGGCTGAAGCCCCCCCCCCCAAAACCGTAAAATATAACCATGTTTTATAGAAAAAAATATTAAAAACTATCTCTTAAAGTATTATTGTTCGTGTAATTACATTTAATAGGACTTCAAAAATCACTTTAACACCATTTCATATAGGTAGTTCATTTCTGTCTCTTCTCTTTTTTTTCAAATTAATTATCGTTATATATATGAAAAAAAATCTTTCGGGCTGAAGCCCTCCCCAAAATTAAATCCTGGATCCGCTAATGAATGAGAATAATACTACCTGCCTAAAATTAAATACAATTTAATTATACAGTGATATAATGAATTTTTAGAGCCGTTTTTGATTGATCTTGTTCAATAAATTAAAAAAAAAAAAAAACGAAAAAAAAAAGAGCAGATGAAAAGATTCAAAATATGAGTTGATGTAGTTCCGAAGAGCGGCAAAAGGTGGCGCAGGCGTCAGGCTCCCCTCCCCTCTCCCATTAAGTTGTGACTTGTGAGTTTTCGCTTATGATAAGAATGGCGGCGCGTTTGGGAAGAAAATTTTTATCAATAACGTAATGGCCAGTTCCTTTTTGGAAAACGATGTGATGAACATGCAGGTGCGTTTAGGGAACGAAAACCCCAGGAATAATGAAGGCATTTCGCAAGGAGGTGGCTTCCAACTTGCCAGCCCCCAACACGGCACTAGGAGACCGATGGATCGTAAGTTATTATATTTTAGACTTCTGCCAAGTAATTTTAATTATTCTCATCATAAATCAATATTAAACAAACCCGATTTTGAGTATTCAATACAAATTTTGATCTTGTATTCATAAGCTGACTTATTATGGAAGCTGTTCACATATCTACTTAAATTGAGTAAAGATTTATTTTAATACATAACATTACTTAACTACATACTAGTAAATTTATACAATGCCAGTCCAATAATGTTTAGTTTGAAAGGTTGATTAACTTGTCAATTGTTGGTGTAGCTGTCACTTTGTGGTATATATCAGAATCAATAAATAATATTATTCTGTTACTTATATTATTGTTTCTTCATTATAAAGATTAAGTATTTCAAGAACCAAAGTGACAATCATCAAAGTAAAGCCATTCTAATTTCTACTTATAAATATAAAATATTTGTTTTTCAGCTCTTAGGTTAGGAATGTGACAGGATAGCAAGAATCTCGTTAATTTACTAGTAATACATATTATTTTCCTACTTGAACCTCTTAAGTTTGAAGTAGTTTGATTTATGAAGTTAATAAAGTTTTTATCTTGAGTTGTTTGGTATTGTAAATATTTTTCTTATCTAATGTTGACTCCATTTTGTCAAATTTATTTTTTTATTATTACGGTATCTAAATATGTTAGCAATTATTTAAAAGTTTAAAATTAACTATTTGCTACATGCCTATTCTAATTTATCAATAGAAACTTTAAGTGAACAGTCTTAGAAAAGGGAATTACTATTCTCAAAATTATATGTACTGTAACAGACATGATTAAAAGTGATAAAATAACAAGTTATATTTTATATTGCGCTATGTATTTCTTCATTAATTGACTATTTAAAATTTAAATTAAATGCATCTTTAATGGATACTTTGTAATAGATGTAAATATTTATTGTTTATTGTAATTAATTACCAAAATATGGAACCTTATTTAAATTTTATTTTTTAGAAATAAGATTTAATATAAATTTAAAAAACAAAAATACACAAAGTAGTCCATGCTTCAAAATGGTTTATAAGAATATTTGTGTTATGAGAAACTCAAAATTAATATGAATATTTCTGCTTTTTATCATTTTGCTTCTTGAAATTTTATACTTTTTATTATCACGGAAGAAATCTTGACTCATCTGGCTAAAATTGGTTGGTAACTGGTCTGTCTTTCCTATCCTAGTTGAAGTAAATAAGGATGTTAAGGTCAAATAAACGGCAGACAAATTATTATTTTAAAATAAAATATTTGAACTAAGTATTGTAGTTTTGTTTGATTAGTAACTTTTTCTGTTGGATTCTGGTTCTGTAGATCACAATATTAACACTCTGAACGCACCGGATCTCAGAGATCGCTTGAGCGGTCTATTTAATGTGTTTTTATACTGCTTGGGTGGGAAGGACCCTCTGTCCATTTATTCTCTTGATTCTTGGAGTCTTACAATCCAGTAGTGGGGTGACCTGTGTTACGTCCAATTTCGGTGCCAAACCTTGAGGATGGACATTGTATCAAGACTTTTTCATGAGAAAGAGATGCAATGGCAACTTATATAATTGAAATCTAAACATTTATTGGGCTGTTACATATTTTAGGAATGCATTAAGCTGGGAAAAGACCTGAATGATTTGTGTGACTCAAGTGCCACAATTGATTCCAAGTTTGGAATTGAAATATTTTGTCCCACTATGGGTGTATGAATGTTTTTTACTTCAATCTTCAAGATTTGATGACCGAAACACACCAACAATGTAAAGAAATAGACCGAATGGGACCTGTCCACATATTTTTCGTTTTGATTTTTATTATTTTTAAAAAATTATATAACTGTGTTTTTTACTCAATAAATATATTTAAAAACTCATCTTCTATATATTTTTCTACAGTATAATGAGAAATTTGTAGGTATTTTTGATCAATTAATTGATTTCGTGAAGAGACCGAGACCGATCCGTAGCGATCTTCCATTTGACTCCAAGGCTAGCGACCTTTGGAGTGTTAAATAATTTTATAGTGAACATATAACCTTGTGGGTCTTATAGTATATACTGTCGTGCTAGAAGTAGAAGTGACAACTGACATTTTTGGGTGAATCCCAACTTTTTTGACGATAACACATATAATACCGTGGTATTATGACCGTAACAATAGTATTTTATTAATCTTTTTATTTTTATAGTAATAACTGCCTGTCTTATACCTTTTATTAAGACAGTTTACCTGTAAGTAAGAATTCTTAAGTAGTTTTAGGGCAGGAATATCATATTTAGATGTGACTACTTTGTCTTTTGCAACATATGAGAATTATGGCACAGCAAAACAACAGTTACATTTCTATGGATTGGATTTATACAGGGTTTTTCAGTGTTAAGTGGCCAAACTGAAAATATGAATTAAAGACCTCGAAAAAAAAATTCCTCTGAAGGTATGTTCGCAAACGCTTTGTATATATTCACACCTAAAGATTTTCATTGTTATGAATTATTTACTTTATATTAAGTAAATAAAACTTATTTCTTTGTTCCAACTACTTTATTAATTAAACGTAAACATGAAATTCATATTAAATTTTGTTCAAAGTTGTTAGGGCTGTTGTTGAAGAAGTGAAGGCAAAAATACCATCAGCAAGTGGTATTGTAGCGAATGTACCAGTTCCTCTGACACATTGGAACGCTGAGCTAAAGATAAACTTTTTTGGTAATCTTCTATTCGGAAATCGTCCGCCATATTCATGACAGTCAGCATTAGCATTACCATTGCAAAAACCATATACAAACACCATATCGGCATATTCAAGATAAGTATAAATATTAAAAAGGTATAATTATGAGTACGCTGCGAAAGCCTCTTACAAAGTGATAAATGTTATTGAGAGTTCCCAATGCTAATTCCAAATAGTATTAATCCTTATATTTCCAATAGTTTTTATACAGTTAGCGATAAAAGGTCATATTAGTATTCTATCTAATCCATCTCATAAACAAAGCGTTTGCGGACATACATTAATAAAGTAGTAAATAGGTTTATTTATATTTATTTCATATAATGTATTAAACTAAAAATATTCATTTCATTAACATATTAAAATAAAAATATTTATTTCATATAACATAAATAATTCATAATAACGAAAATCTTTAGTTGTGAATATCTCCTAAACAAAGCATTTGCGGACATACCTTCAGAGGAAATTTTTTTCTTGTTTTGAGGTCCTTTGTTCATTTTTGCAGTTTGGCCACTTTACCCTGAAACACCCTGTGTATATTTACATATTTTTTTCTAAGACTTTTCTAACCCTCCGACTGTTTACTTTATGTCTTATTCCATTTAAAACCTAATAATGCAACATTTATTTTACATATTAGAATTATATCTAAACAATAATACTCCAGTAAGAACTCAAGATAGATAGGCATTCTTTTCTCTAATGCATTCGGTGTTAACAAGTGACATTAGCGAAACGTGTTTATTCTAATATAAAATATAATATTATGAAGATAGGCTAGTCAACATATATGATCCGTTTATACTTTACCACGGCTGTTAAAGTAACAATTTATTTAATATGTGATTAGCCTGTCGCACTAGAAAATATCCCAATGGAATATGGAAAATATATTTATTGCCTTAATTGTTTCTTGGATTTTGCTATAAAAGTAGGATCAAAATAAATCAATAATATCTTTAATTTATTTATATATATATATTATACTAATGAAACTGAACTTGTTAATTTGTTTAATGATTATTCCTTTGATGATATCATTATAAAATTACAGTTGTTATATTCTCTTTAATTTATATGGCTCATTTAAAAAAAGAAAAGAAAAGTATACTTGTGATTTAGACTTGCTACAGACTGTTATCAGTCATTGTTTATAACCTGAACACTGATAATTCAGATATCGATAATACCTACTATCTTATTCATATTAATGGAAATTTAAATAGACAAAAAGACATGTAATAATAATAACAGAACATTTTATTTATTTTGGGAGACAAAACAGCTTAATCCTATTTAAAATAGCGAGGAAGGGGTCCTCTTCTCTGTGGACCCGCCGCTACAAAAATTCACATAACTATGAATCTAGGTGTTGCCTCGCAGTTCCTCAATGTTTTTTATTCTCCCATGTAGCTGAGCCAGGGTGTGGACCGACCTGAAAAAGTCAGGGAAAAATAGTTAAAGTCAGGGAATTTTTTTGTACGCAAATTTTTTTTCAAATTGGAAATAAATATATAGTGGATATCATTTATCATGACCTTGAAGTGGGTAAACTTCGTCTTTATAAACAACCATGGTCGCTATATTCATCTAACGTTTACTGTCATTAATGGCACTGGTCTGTATATTGAAGTCAAACAAGGGTAATGAATAAAATTTGAGCAAAATGGACTTAAAACCAGTCCTTTTTTGAAAAGAAAAACATACTAATATTATTTACTAGTTGTAATATATACATATTAGGGTTAAAATCTGGCTGGCAAGCACTCATTCAACCCGTGGTGCATCTTAAAAGAGCATTTATTAACCGGGAATTGCACATTTGGTGTAATATGAATAATTATTGTGTTGTTTATAGAAATAAAAAAACTAAATTACTTACGAGAAACTACAATAATATCAGAATCCCCTGTAGCTCACTTTCAGCAGAGATTTATATGTCAAGTATCAACTATAACCTCCTGTCAATTTATGAAAATAAAATAAAAGCGATAAAAATAAATTACTAAAAGTTTATAATTTGATGGTTGACGTTTGAATGTATTGAATAATTGAGAATGATGGTTGCGATGATCAGTCAAAACAAAAATAGTAAAAATAAATAATTATATTTATTTTTATATTTCCGAAGTTCATTCCTTCATCAGGGCCTATTGAAACATTGGCCAGCCCTGATGAAGGCCTGAACTTCGTGCGGAAACATCGGCTAATATAAAAATAAATATAATTATCTATTTTTACTATTTTTAAATTTACAATTTTTTTGACTGATCATCCCAACCACCCTTCTCTTCAATTCTACTAAAAGTTTAGTTTTCTGAAATAAAAAATCCTAATCAAGCTTAAAAAATGCTTCCTCTAAAACACGTTAGTATATTTAAAATACTGATGATATTTCTTTTTTTTTTCTCAAATCATTTTGTAGCTAATTTTCCTTGATGTTTAATAAATAAATTTAGTTATAAATTTGTCCTTCAGACTGTATTAATCACTCCATAATACTGTATAAAATCATTATTAAAAAAAAGTTATGGATTATACATTTTTAATATTTTTGTCCCCAGACATATTGGTCGGGGAAAACTATCATTAAATAGGGAAGTGTGGGATTTTTATGAGTTTTTAAAAAAACATTGCTTAAAAAATGCTTCCTCTAAAACATTTTAGTATATTTAAAATACTGATGATTTTTCTTTTTTACTCAAATCATTTTATAGTTAATTTTCTTTCATGTATAATAAATAAATTTAGTTATAAATTATACATTTTTAATATTTTTGTCCCTAGACATATTGGTCGAGTAAAACTATCATTAAATAGGGAAACGTCTCGGATTTTTACTTTAACTGTCTGGTAGGCACCCTATAATTGCATATTTTGATTATTTCAGTTAAAAATGATAATAATAATGAATTAAAATGGCATATTGAAGATGAAACTCCATAATGGAATGTTGAGTCAACAAATAACAAAATAATGCTAGTTATTGACTTCTTATAATATGGATTTTTTTTTTCATTTCCTTGCTTTTTATTTCCTTTTTTCATTGTTTTTAACTTTTTAAGACGAGGTTAGGTTTCAATTTTTTATATACAACCAGTTTTATTTTTTATTATTTAAATTGCATAATTTTCTTCAAATTGAAATATTGGATGGATCCTTACTTTACCAAAGATGAAACAGTTTTTAAAACTCATTAACCCAAATGTCAGATTAATGTGTACATAAATCTTTGACTGTATCTCCAACCAACTTCTGCTATAATTATGATTGTTGATTTATAATTTCACTAATTATACATATTTATTCTGCCAATAATTCCAATGATGTTTCTATTAAAATTATCTAGTTTTGGTTGATCTGTATTGAAGTTTTGATATTTTCGATAGTGGGGGACGTCGGTACTCCGACCAGAGGTCGAAGGAGACAATTCGATCTGCCTGTCAATCTTATCCAGCCCAAAACTCCAGATAACAACTTGATAGAGAGGAAGCTCAAAGAGATTATGAAACATTCCGGTATACTTCACATCAATGGCATCGTAAGTATTATTTCATCATCTTTACTTATTTTACTTTCATACAAAAATAACATTCTTCTTCGTTTTTCCAATTGAATGATCATGTCCAATGATAAAACGAGGAAATCAGTGATATTCCAGTGTCCCATACAGTTAGTTTCCAGCTAAGTCCAAATCTTCTAGTCTCATCAAGAACAAAAGGACCCTGAAGAACATAACTCAGCTATTCGTTATTCCCTACCACATTTATTTACTTTTTCCTAGAAACTAAAAACAATTTAGGCGATTAGTGTTAAAACCAGATGCAAATTCTCAATGTACTACATCCTTGAGCTTAACCGTACTCATAAAAAACTTCTCGATCCAATATAAAAATGTCAAATAAGGCATAATCATATAGTTTTTGGCATCTGATGTTAACTTTTGGGAAATAAATTAATCTGGTTTAAAAAAAAAGACAGTTAATCTTAATCTCATAGAGGAAACGTAGATCGCATATTTCTAGTATAAGAAATGTCTATTACAAAGAGTGAATTTTCAGATCTAAATTAGTGATCAATTGATGCCTCAACAATTTAAGATGATAATTAGAATTTGAATAACATCGGATACGAAGCCGCAAAAATAAAATAGAAAAATCAAGGTTCCTGATGATTGATAGAATCCAACAAACCTAATCATTTTCGTGTGAATCGGTGGGGATGTTATGAAGTTATCGCAATTTTTGTCATTGTTAACAAAATTTCTAAGGGTTCAGTCTAAGCAAAAATCTTACTAAAAATTTTAATTTTTCAATGTTTATATAAATTAGTTCGTATTTAAGGATTTTCTGAAGTGTTAAAAACAAATATTACACCGATATGCGATTGGATGTCATGAAGAGATGAGATGATGCCTGCAACTGATTGCAAAACGTTGATGGTTTTTTTTTAATTCTTTACCTGCATTTTAGGGAAAAGAGTATGTGGTTGGAATTTTTCCAAATGTTAATAATATTATCAATATTTTATAACTTAAAGTTGTCGATTCGTTCAAGCTCTTTCATTCAGAAAATGTGGTTAGTACTAGTAAATTTCGAATTGAAGTAATATTGAGCTGGATTTTGGACATTAGTTAGAAATGGTGATTACGTTTAATAAATGCATATATTTATAACATTTATAGATAGATACATTGTATCTTAAATATGAAATTTTATGTTTTTACTATCCTGAATTTACAGAGATACCAGAGTGAAATGAGTGACTTGAAAGAATTAGGAGAGCTAGGCTTTGGAACTTCTGGTCATGTTTTCAAAATGCTTCATGTCCCAAGTCAGGAAGTAATAGCTGTGAAGGTAAGTAAATAAATTGTTTACTATTATTTACTATTATATTTTATTATTATAAAGGACAGTGTAGAGGAGAGTAGATTAAACAAGATTAAAGATTAAAGATTTTCAGTAGGGTTATGGGATAAAAGTTTAACCATGGATATACGGTACAAATAAAACAGGAAATTCAGAGGCTTGAGATAACACGGGAATTATGTGAGGATAGGCCAGAATACAAGAAATTCCTGAAAAGTGCGGTGCATGTGGCAGACAGTAGGGAACTTCTATCCAGGAGGAAGTGGACTGAGGAGAGGAAGACAAAATTTAGCGATATCCTCAAGCAGAGATGGGCAAAAAAGAGAAAATTGAAAAAGAAACCAGTTTCATAGTCGCGTAGTCCTTCAGGGCTGTTTTGCTTCAAATAAATAAAGGACAGTGTAGAACTATCCTCATGAAGATCTTTATAACATACTTTGTCCCATTGACTGACCATCATTGCTTTTTCTAAAACTTAAAAATTTTTAAAGACTGAAATTAGGTTTGATTGTAACTGAAAATGAATATATATTGTAAGGTTACGTCCCCTTTGAAAAGTAAACAAAACAGTTTCTGAATCAAATCACATTTATTTTACACGATAATTATTTCTCAGGTTGGGTTGAGACAATAAACACACATTCCTCAATATATAATGCAAATGCATATATTAATTTTATATAACATATTTATAAATTTCCATTCTTTTGTCGAGGTCTACTCTAGGCACGCTTTTGAACTGTCACTATTTATATTTCATTCACCCTGTTCTGCAGTGAATCTTCTTCTATTTTGTTGTCTTCAACTTCTACAATCTTCTTTTCTTCCTTTGTTGGCACTCACTACTTGTGAGTTACATTTTCTTTTCTTGATCCTCTTTACAAGCCGGCTGGATAATTTCTTTAACATATGACACTTGCTTTCCCTTCCATCTGTCTTTATCCATTTTTGACAGCAGTTCGTGACGTCACTGCCTTCGCGCCACTATTCAAAATCACTATGTAATATTTACATTATTATGTTTAAATGCCTTATTTGCCGATTAAAAGTTGGCCCGTAGTTATAATTAATTTTTATTACCAACTAATTTTTGCCCTAATCTACCTGTAACCTCCTGATACAGAATAAAGATTTTAGATTAAATTTTGTGCGGGAAATGGTATTCATCTGGAGGTGGCAGTTTGATTTTACCTAGCTGACAGTTTTTATTTTTCGATCTAAACATTTTCCCTTGAATTCAATATATTATTATATTATATATAGTATTATTTATATTATACGATGATATAATTATAATTATTATGAAATAGAAAAAAAAAAAGCACAATTTAACGTAGTATGAAAATATTAGAAATAACGACTCAAATTGATGTTGGGTTTATATGAAGCTGAACAAGTTAAATATATATTATGATTACAAATTAGAAATAAGACGCGATGTATAATTTAAATTTTTAAAGAAATTAAAAATCCGAACTGTTGTTTCATTCAATTTATTTTATAATTGGTAATTGGTTGACTGTCGTGGATAATGAAGAGAAGAATAGTTGGGGTGGTCAGTCAAAAAGGAAGGCAAAAATAAATGATAATATTTATTTTTTACATATGCCGACGTTTCGACCTGAAGTTCAGGCCTTCATCAGGGCTGTCTCCTTAAGTGTCGCAGGGAGAATCATTCTCCGGAGAATGATTCTCAATGATTCTCCCTGCGACACTTAAGGAGACAGCCCTGATGAAGGCCTGAACTTCAGGTCGAAACGTCGGCATATGTAAAAAATAAATAGTATCATTTATTTTTTCCTTCCTTTTTGACTGACCACCCCAACTATTCTTCTCTTCAATTTATTTTATGTTGATAACAAAATAATACAACCTGAACTACAGAATACATATAAATTAAAGTTACACAATTTGAGCAACGAGTAGTACAATTAAATGAACAGTTGTATAATTTATAAAAGAGCGGGTTAGTCCATCGTTAAGCTGACTGCCTGGAGGTAATCCAAGAGTACATCTAGAAAAAAAAAATCAACCATGCTTTATTATTTGTAACAAAGTAATGAAGTCTCATATTCAAGGTATATGAATAAAGTTAAGTAACAGTTTACTTTCCCATAAAAAAATTTCTTTATTTTTATGACGTTTCGGAATCACTTTATTATCACATCTTCAGACTGTATCTCATCTTTATCTCATATATCCTGTAATTTTTTTAAAAAAAGAATTGTCATAATTTTTATTTTTGTTTATTGAAATTATTATTTTTATTTATTGAAAAATCGTCCCTTAGTTATATTGTGGACTCCTCTAGGGAAAGCCTTAGTCAGACAATGAAGTCGTGATAACAAAGTGATTCCGAAATGTTCAGATGTATTAATGGATTACATATATCTTATATAAATAAACATCTGTAGGATTTATGAACAGTCTCATATTTTATAAAATATTATAATGAAGATTTGAAATTAAAATGTTACAAACTTAAATTGTAGGTTAGAAAAAAAAAATTTTTAAACTATTTATTCAAGATATTTACAACTGTATTACAATATAAATACATCAAGTAAATGTGTACACAAGAATATAATCACTTGAAAACGCTTGTTGAGAAACTACCCACAGGTAGAACTCTAATAATATGTCTACATAAGGAGATCACGAGGCCATCTTCTTTTCAGACGCCTCGGGGGGTTATCAGGAATCGAAGAGGAAGCAAGGTTAGAAACGAGAGGGTTCGGATGGTTATGAAGTTTATTATGGAAGGATAGGTATCTGGATTGGGCCAAATCGGTGACATATGGAACATTAAGGTCATTATGGATTATTTTATTTGTGACAAAGTAAGGAGCATTGAGGATTTTACGAAGGATTTTGGATTGTAAGGATTGGATACGAGAGGAATTTGATGGTTTAGTGGAGCTCCATAGATGAACTCCGTAAGTCCAAGTAGGTCTTATGATAGTCATGTATATTAGTCTTTTGTAATTAATAGAAAGTTTAGAGCGTTTGTCTAGTAAGTGTTGGAGTAAGCGGAAACGTCGAGCAGTTTCTTGTCATTTCAGTCTTGTATGAGGATTCCAAGTGAGACGTTTGTCCAGGTGCAGTCCAAGATATCGTATTTGTTCAACAGGGATAAGTGGGGTGTTATTAAAGGATACTGTAGGACAGGAAGTCATAGGTTTACGACGAGGTTTGAAAATAAATGATTAATTTATTATTAAGACATATTAATATTCTAATTAAATGAATGATGGTTCATCTAAAATATTAGATATAAATCACAAAAATTAAGTTTTTTTATTTATTTATTTTTTAAAAGAATTCAATATTGTCTTTCAGCAAATGAGAAGATCTGGAAATCCGGAAGAAAACAAACGTATCGCCATGGACCTGGAGGTGGTGCTGAAATCCCACGACTGCCCGTACATTGTTCAGTGCCTCGGCTGCTTCATAACTGATTCCGAAGTCTGGATCTGCATGGAGCTCATGTCGACCTGCTTCGATAAACTTCTCAAGAGGCTTTCCACCAGTATCCCAGAGCCGGTTATCGGCAAAGTTACCTTAGCTGTAAGTCCAAAATTCCATCTCTACTGCTAACAATCTTTTTCGGTGTCTTGCATTGATGGCCCATGTCTCCGAGGCATATGTCGTTATTGACCTTTCTTCCTTCACCAATTTTTCTGTTGATATCATTGGTGGATAAATACTAATATATGATTTGTCTAATTTGTTTCGCTCGGATTTTTCTAAATATTTTGAATATTTCAGACTGTACGAGCACTCCATTATCTCAAAGAAAACCACGATGTCATTCATAGGGACGTGAAGCCATCTAATATTCTCCTCGACAACAGGGGCAATGTTAAACTATGCGATTTTGGCATCTCAGGGCACCTGGTCAACTCGAAGGCTAATACTAAGAATGCAGGATGCACTGCTTACCTAGCGGTAAGTTAATTAGCATTTTATTTTTTTTTAATTGCTTGAAATATATAAGATTTGGCGTCCGAAGAGGACAAATGTAAAAATATGTTTTATATATATATATATATCATGTCCTTATATACTATTTTATTATATATTACTATAATCTGGAAAATCGAAGGAATTCCATTAAAAGATTGTGATAGACACGCTTTATATCAAAGATACAAAATAATTAACGGTACTTGTGATTTAGCCGGTCGCTACGGAACCTACCTTGATATCTCTTATAACCTCTTCTTATCACTCATCTCTGCTTAGTTATTTGTGCGTTATTTAATTGTTTTCAGTTTTTTTTTTTTAGTTGGTTAATTTTGTTATTTTCTATTTAAAATTGATATAATAACACTTTGGGAATTGTTGTCTTCGGAAGAAGAAGCTGTTAAATACTTTCAGAAGTTCGGATTAATTCTAAAGATGAAATAGTATGTAGAAAGTCATCAAATGGTTTGTTTTCATCAAAGTTACAGGAAAAAGAAATGTGGTTCGAGGGGTCAAGAATTACCTTTTTAACACCTTTAAAGTTTATTTATGGCTGGTATCATAATTTAACAATTGAGTTGGGCAAAGAGCAGCTGAAACTATCCAACAGAAGTATGGTCGAGTGGAACAGATTTTTGAGAGAAGTTTGTACCCATAACATGTTATACACGTCAACTAAAAACATTGGAGGGCATGGATAAGATGTTGAAATATATGAAAGTCTATTTTATAAAAGAAACATCATGTTGGGAGAGCGCTCGCTGAACGATGGATGTTTAGTGGAGTTTATCGAGAAACTGACGAGTGTTTCATTGTAAAAGTAAAAGACAGATAAGCAACAACTCTATTAGACTGTATTTAAAATTTTTTAAACATTAAAGTATTTTGTTATTGTTACATTTCTTTTTATCTATTTCAATTACGATAAATATGAATAAGAAGGTAGATGTTATCAGTATCGGAATTATCAGTGTTCAGCTTATAGACTAATGGCGGATAGCAGTGTGTGACGACTGGCTAACTCACAAGTACCTAATTAACAATAATATAATTAAAATCAATATTTATACGTGTTCTTATATTCATTGATGTTTCGATTTTTGTTACAGCCCGAAAGGATAAACCCACCCGATCCCAGAAAACCCGATTACGATATTAGGGCGGACGTCTGGTCTTTAGGAATAACACTTTTAGAATTAGCGACTGGTTCTTTTCCGTACCCTGGTTGCAATTCTGATTTCGAGGTCTTATCAAGGGTGCTACAGGACGAACCTCCTTCGCTCCCTGCTACAGCAAATTTCTCTCAGGAATTCAGAGACTTCACTCAAGCTTGGTAATTATTTATTTTATATTTATCATAAACAGTTATTATATTTATCAGTACATGTTGTTAGCTCCCTCTTAGTTTATGTCAAACTTCGAATGAAGCCTAACTATTTGATTTTGATTTAATAAAAGAAAAAAAAAAGAATGAAAGTGGACTGTATCTTCAAACATTTATTTTGGAACATTTACATAATCTAATATTGAAAACATAAAAACAAAATGAATCAATTTTACACTTGTTAGATAGGTAAAAAAAATAACAAACTTCTAGCATAAAATAAAGACCAGCTGAACAAACAATTGTGACAATATTAATGAAATATTTTCATGCTTGATCATAAAAAAAAACTATTTCTATGGCCCAAATTACAATAAAAAAAAAAAACAACTTCTCTAAAGTCCCAATATGAAATATTATATATATATATATAACAAATAATTAGATTGTACAACATTACGTGGAAGAAGCAGAACGTTTGTAAACCTCTGTCTCTACGCAGAAACCAATTGTAACTCTTATGAGTGTTCTCGAAGTGAACTGCAAATGGGCAGTGGCGAGCACGACGAGAGAAGTACGAAGTACGTCTCTTCAGAGTAGAACTGCAGTGGGCAGTGTTGAAGTTGGCAGTACTCAGCTCAGTGACGGACGGAGTCAGACGTCTATTGTCAATTCTACCGCCTTATGACTTGAACCTAGCACTTGTTTATAGCTAGTGCTACTACAATCCATAACAAAGTAGTCCAAGTATAAACTATTGATCTATTTAATATAAACAATATAAGCTATGGGCCTATAATACTTAATATACACATATCTTATACATAAATATACATATTATTAATTGATTTCACTTTGCTAAAATAAAACAAATCAACAATTAATCAAACTAGTTAAGTGTAAAATAAAATGAATTAACGCTGTGGTGTTTTTAACTGTAAAAATAAAATAAATTAACACTGTTTTTTTTTTTTTTTTTTGTTCTTCCCTACCTCGCCTTTTAGGCTATACGGGATTTTCCCGGGCCGGGGGGTGAGGGCGGGGAATTTTAAATCCCCTCCGACACCGGGACGCGAACTCGTACTTTTTATATCATCTCAAATCTCTGTTATCCGGTTGCCAGGCAACTAGCGGTGCTGTGCACACGCTTTAGCCTATTCGGCCACCCCGCCCCCTAAAATTATGACGGAACCAGTCTTGAACCGGAAACCTTCACCATAACAGTATAGTACGCTAGCCACAACACTATAAGTGCACTAAATTAACGCTGTGGCATTAACACATTTACTAGTACCAGTCCAGCGAGAACTCGCATTAATTATTTATTTAATATTTATTTGTTTTCAGGGAATAACCCCCTACAGATAGAGTCTATCATTACTCTTATGGGTCAATCAATTTGAAATCACCCAATTTGAATTAATTTTGTTGCTCGACATTTTTTATTTTTATAATTTTTTTACCCGTTATTTCATATTTGTTTGAAAGTTCGAAGCCTTAGTTAAAAAAAAAATTTCTTGGTGTCCATTTTTAATTTTCTTTTCTACTGAAAACATTTTTCTTCATTATGTAGTCCTACTCCTGTACTTTTTGTTGTACAAACTTCAATCTTGAATACCTTGTCCTTTTCAAATACGAATTTTCAAAGACACCAAGTCGTTTTCAGCGATTTTTGTGTCATATATCACAAAAGGGACTGAGTGAAAACTTATGAAATTGATACAGTTCATAACTCATAATGATAAGAATGTGTGATAGATAGATAGATAGATAGATAGAAAAATAATTTTATTCTGGGACACAGTCCCTTGAGAATAACAAAATAGAACAAAATTAACAGATCACATCTGGCCAAAATAAAATCAATCGAAAAAAATAAATAATGTAAAAAAAATATAAGGTAAACATTCTATATAAAAAAAACGAAACTATATACAAAACAATTAATACTATGACAAGGCACTTAAAGCTATTTGCACTAGTATACACTTTTAAGAAAATAATAAAGAATTAAAAAATAAAAATGTATCAATGAATCAATGATACGAATTTCATCATTAAGAGTCAACTGACTCTATTAGTTATAGCGCAACAAATATGGCTGCCTAGTGTGTCGGTGTCAGCGTATCCTACCCACACTAACTGAAGAATTTTGGCAGTTATCAAAATAAAACAAAAACTAAAATTATTATGATGTTTTGCTCTAAATTTTTTGTCGTCCTCACAACATATCTCATAAGTAGTGAAGAAAATTGACTTACTGCTTGTTATTTTTCTGTGACATAACTACTTAGCTCGCACCTCTTGTCGCGCAACTTAAAAATTAGAATCTATAAAACCATTGTCTTACCTACAGTTCTTTATGGATGCGAAACTTGGCCGCTTACATTAGGGGATGAGCAGCGTTTTAAGGTTTTTGACAATAAAGTATTGCGTAGAATATTCGGACCCTAGAAGGATGAATTAACTGGAGAGTTCAGACGGTTACACAACGCCGAATTGTGTGAACTATATCTGGTGATTTCATCACTATCTAATTGAGGTGATCTCATCCCAGCGAATCAAATGGGCCTGTAAAATTGTTGGGCTTGGTAACAATAGAATTCCTAAAAGGTTAATATTTGCTGTACCGAATGGTAAATGTCCGAGGAATAGACCGAAGCTTAGGTGGATAGATTGCATTAAAACCGATCTGAAGGAACTAGGTTTATACGGCGAACGGTGGAGGAAGGTGTGTAATAAGCGATTAGTGGTGTCGTCATTGAACCTTCGGGTTCGCTAAGCCTTTTATTATTATTATTAAAAAATTAAAATTAACATAAAACGAAACATATAGTGCAGTTATACTGTAATAATGAAAAGAGTCTCAACTTCAATTTCTTATTCAGATGTAGTCCTATCAGTGTACTATTTGCTGATGATATTTCAATCTTGAAAACCTTGTCCTTTATTAGATATGAATTTTAAAAAACGGCCAAAAGTCATTTTTGGCGATATTTGAATATGAATATCATAAATTGAGTGGAAAATGATGAAACTTATACATTTTATAAAACTTTCTAGTAAGGAAATATGGAACAAATTTAGAGACTGAGACTTAATCGATTACAGAGTTATATCGTATCAGATATGTCTGGAAATTGCGTTATTTAAACGATAAATCAGCATATGAAATTGAGGCACTGAATTGAATTTTCGTTAATCATTACACAAATTCTATGATGCGTATATAAGTTTTCGCTGCATTGACTGCTACTATCACATCAACTGATAAATGTAAGCGCCTCAACGGTGAACTGTCACCTTAACAACTGTATTTGTGATTGGGGGAAACACTGTTTTAAAAATCATGTACTAGTAGGAAATAAAACGTATCAAGGTGACTGTTATCACCAGCGAAATAATACCTTAAGGCAGGCAACATCTGTGCCCACGGGCACACAGGCATCTGTCTCTCTCTCTCTCTCTCTATTATGTCTGTATTAATTATTGGTTTTCTGTTTTCTAGCCTGTCGAAAGACTACAAGGTGCGACCTAAATATAAAAAACTCCTGGAACATCCGTTTCTTCGGCGCTATATGGAAGAAAATGTTGATGTCGCCTCCTGGTATGCTCACGTGATGCCTACTACTCCATCTCCTATTCACAGGTATGAACTTTTACTTATTAATTTTTTTTTCTTTTAAATTTGTGGATTAAAATGTCAAAGATTTTGTTTGAACTTGATAATCGTCAAACTTTCAACATCATGACCCATGAGAACAGAAAAGTTAACTATGTGTTCCTTTAAAAAGGTGTAAAATGTACATATAGATATTCCTCTATATATAGTAACACATATAAAATGTATCTTGTCTCACTTAAAAATTCAAATTAATAAATATATTGTAATAGTGTTAATAAAACTTATATAATAATATGTACTATATAATAATATGTATTGTAACATCCCTCTTATATTTTAAAAATGATAATAATTTAACCTCGGAAGCTCACTTCTTACCATTGAGATACTTCCTAAATAAATAAGAGGTTGTTATAATAATAAACAAAATTATAAGAGAATTAATATATTTATTTATCTCAGGTGTGGGTTACTGACAATCAGATCAACTCAGATAAACTATTATTATTTACACTATTTATAATAAAATTAAACATTGATTTTAAAATAAAGTCAAGTATGAATTGACAAGCTAACCTTTTTTCTACATACAACGTTTCTTCCTTTGTGACACTGAACTCATTTGTCTTCACACATTTTCTTATGTTCTGCCAAACACATCTTCCAGAATGGTGACACTTTCTTCTATTCAACTTAAGCTCCCTGGGAGATACTCTCTCTTGTACTTCCAAAGAACTAGTCTCTCTGGCAAATAACAACTTCCAAGATGGTAATACTATTACTGGGGTTTTTCCGCTGGAGTCAGAACCACTTCTTCTATCCTCTCTTCACTGCTGTCACACAACAAGAGCTTGCCAAAACAAAAACCTTTGTCGCTCTCATCTTTGGGATTTTTCTTCTTGGGAAACTACAGTGCAGCCATTTTCTTTTCCCTGCACTAGTAGAACTAGATTACCTTGCCTTTTAATTGTTCAACATTAATTTATTAAAACCTTTTTACTTAATTTCAATAAAGGTGTATATTACAGTATATAATTAATCAAGATCGTTGAGTGGAATGAATGATGTATGTGAATGAGGGTTTTAAATGGTAGCGAGAAGAAATTATTTTTTAGAAATGCTAAGTAAGCTAAGGGTGATATAGGAGCTCACTCTTGAAAGATCAATAATATCGAAGACCAATAATATAACAAATTTTTTTTTTTACACACACATATATATATATATATATATATATATATATATATATATGTATATATATATTTGATATATTGAATTACTAATTTGATATATTATAAGGCTACAATATCACCCACTATATCTCTGATTTCATCTTATTATTTCTTTATTAGACAACTGTTTCTTATTTAATATCTAGTTATAATTCATTTATTTTATTTTCACCATTTACCTTTTATATTTTGAATCTTTTGTAACCCTGATGAAGATCAGCAAAGTGGGTCGAAACGTCGGCATAATAATTAAAAATACTAATTTTTAAAATTTGATATTTATTTGACCGCATCTCCCGACCAACTCCTTCTCATATTATGAGGCTAGTTGGCCCATTTTGTTGGGAATTTAGTAATCTTGCACAAATAATCATGGGTCCAATCAACAATAAAGTGAATATTTTTTTGAGTTATTCACAAATAAATTTTCTTTTCTTTCGTAACTTTTTTTCTTGAAATTTTGGGGAATATGACTATTTTTCCCACCTGAAGGGAAAGAAAATTTTCAAAATGAGTACTCTATCACTGGATTTGATGAAGAATTAACAAAGATATGGTACACTGACTTAAAAAAAAAAAAACAACCTTTAAAGATAATATAAAAGGTATATTTCATTATTTACATCTCTAAATAACGTATGTGTCGATATCCCCTTGACTCATTGGTCTTTATATTTCATATTTTACAAACAATTGACAAAGTTTGTAGTAGACATCCCCCAGTATTTACTCCTTTATGTGACATTGGGTGAGGGAATGAGAAGGAATATATAATATATAAGAAGATGAGATTGCACTGTGAATTGTACTCAATTGTGCAGTGGACAAATTGTTCATTGAAAAGTCTCATATCGATAAACAATCGATGAAGAAGGAAAAAGGTCTGGTCAGGTAGCAGCAGCTGGAGAATGACGCCAGGGAGAGAGGAGAAGCCACTTGAGCCCTGGACACAAAGACGAGAAGACGTTATCTGGGAAGAGAAGGCACTCTAGACCTGGACAGGAAGAAAGGAGGTTGTCAGAAGATAGAGGCACCGCATTGAAGATTAAGAAGATCAAGCCTGAAGTTATAAGACTATAATAGATTCACTTATTACAGTTGTAAAATAAATTGTTTTGTTAGACAGGAGAGAATTTGTCATTTATTTGTCCTATAGGCCTCACAATTGAAGAATAACAAATCAGATGAGTCAATCCATTCAAAATGTATTTACTAAGTCCCACATTTCAGATATATATTCTTATTGTTTCTTGACGCTCAGTGTCACAAAAGGTATTAGATTCCCGAATTCCCAACGACAGTTAAACACCCTCAAAAAGTCTATATCCAGTGCCTGGGTTTTGTTTTAATATTCACGAGTGTAAATAACCTAGTTCCCCGATATAAAAGGGAAGAATATTTACTATTCCCGCCAAAACTAATTATTTACATTTAACTTTCGACAGGTTATTTACAAGTTGTTAGGTTAAACAATAGACAAAGTTTAGTTGTTGTTGTTGCCTTACTTGTGTGAGGTCGTTATAACCCTCCAGTGAGACTCATGGCATATGTTATGGCAGTTATTTTAATTTTGTTGTATTATTTTGTTATTAATTTTAAAAATAATTTTTAGGGCGAACGAGACTGGTCCTGCGGTAGCTGGCCACCAGCGATCATTGTCTGACGTTTCACCTCCTCAATTAAAATTCTTACCTATTCAAAGGTTGGTCATTTATTTATTTTTTTAAAATTTTTATTTCTATTTCACTAGTATTGTATTGGTGATTAATGAGTCTTATATTTTTCATTTTTTTTATAAATGATATTTTAATTTGCGCCAGGGATGGATTGTCGCCTGTAGCCCACAGGAAGGTAGTAAACGGGAGCGAGGGTGGACCATTCGACAGCGGAGGGGGATCAACCAGCCCGCTACTACTCCAGAGGTTCTATCATCAACAACAGCAGCACAGGATCAGGTCAGTAAAAATTAAGTTATCATTGTATTAATATGTCATTAATTAATTAATATGTATTATGTCATATTAATATAATTAATTATTTTTCAACAAAAAAATTATTTTTTTCAAAAACTTTATTAGAAAATAATATGTGTATCTATAGAGAGTAAAACAAAAAAGAAATTACTCAAAATGTCCCCTTTTTGCGTTGACAGAGGCATTTAATCTACGTGGCTAGTCATCAATAGTAGCACACAGCACTTCTTGAGGAAAGTGTTCAACTGCTTGGACCAGAGATTGTTTGAGGCTTTCCAAGTTATGGTGTGCTCTGCGGCATGAGTTCGAAGTCTGTTCCTCAGAGCGAATGCGAGGCAGAGAGGAACTCAGGAATGTTCTTTTCCAGCCACTGCTGAGTTGACCTGGCCTTGTGAGCTGGAGCGAAATCCTGCTGGAAAATTCAATGACTTCCAGCAAACAGAGTATCATTTAGAAGCTCGACAACAGGTTCCAAAATATCGTCCTGATAGTTTTTAGCGGCTGTTTTAATTCCTTTTTCACAAAAATGGATATTTGTGGTGCCATCAAAGTAAACTCCCTACCAAACCATCTCTGAGGAAGGGTGATGACCGCTTTCCACTCTTCCTGTGCTTCTTTAGAGCTGTGTGCGTACGCACGATCATTTTGGTGATAAAATTTTTCTTCAATTGTAAAAATTTTCTCATCGCTAAACAAAATCTTTCGATGAAGACCATTGGTGTAACGGCCAAGGAGCACTTTGCATCTATCCTCTCTATTTTTTTTTTTAGGGAAGTGGTTATCCTTTGTCCTGTCATCCTTCGAAATACACCTATCCTAAGGTCACTTTTTATTATACTAGACATCGGAGCTGACAGATGCTGTTTAATCATGAATGATGGGTTTAAAAATATTATTTTCTTAATTTAAACACCTCGCATTGAGGCCAACTTCAACTTTTACACTAGTTCATGCCTACTTTATTAAGTGCACTTATAGTGTAGTGGCTAGCGTACTATACCGTTATGGTGAAGGTTTCCGGTTCAAGACTGGTTCGTCATATATATATATATATATATATATTTTACTATGTTACAAAATATAATTTAAAATTATATACATTTATTGTGGATTGATGGTTGACTAGTGAATAATTGAAGAGAAGAATGGTTGGGGTGATCAGTCAAAATAAAATGGCAAAAAATAACTGTATTTATTTTCACATATACCTTAGAAATCCATAAATGTTGTATATAAATTTTCATGTATACTTTTATATTATATATTATATGATGAAGAGAAGAATAGTTGGGGTGGTAAGGCAAAAAATAAATATTTATTTTTTACATAATAATGATAATAAATATTATCATTTATTTTTTGACTGACCATCCCAACTATTCTTCTCTTCATTATCCAACCAATTACCAATTATATACATATATTATATAGTTGAAAAAAGTGCTTAATTGTCTGTATCCAATCTTAGAAATAATTAATAGTCTTTTTAAATAATTATTGTGTGAAATAAAAATAATATGGTTCAGAAACTGTTTCTTTATTTTTCAAAGGAAACGTAACCTAACAATATATATATATATATATATATATATATATATATATATATATATATATATATATATACACACACATATATTGTGCATTAATTTAATTTGTGTTTTTGGGATCGAGCTTTGGGGCTCCACTAAACCATCAAATTTCTCTCGTATCCAATCCCTACAATCCAAAATCCTTCGTAAAATCCTTAATGCTCCCTACTTTGTCACAAATAAAATCACCCATAATGACCTTAATGTACCATATGTTTCCGATTTAGCTCAATCCAGATACCTGTCCACTTCTATTACTGATAACACTCCGAGGCGTCTGAAAAGAAGATGGCCTCCGGACCTTCTAATATAAAATTGAATTGGAGTGCTACCAATGGGTAGTTTCTCTTCATGTTGTACATGTCATGTTACTTGTTCATATTTACTTGTTGTATTTATTATTAATTACAGTTGTAAATTTCTTTAATAAAAAAAAAAATTGTGTTTAAAAGATGATTTTTTTTTTTTTTTTTTATCACTATTTAATCATCATTATTTATGTAAAACCGTATCATTCAGTGAATGATCATTATTTTCAATTGAATCAATAAACATTAAAGATCAATTTAAATTTTTATTTATATCAAATCAGGCATGATTTTTATATTAAAAATCAAGTATGATAATTATTACATGATTTTGTGGAAAAAAGAATAATTATTTAATAATGTCTCATAATTATTTTATTTACTACCCTTGCATTGCCCTCAGGTCGACGTCGGTGTCCCCCTGCCGCCAGGTGTACAATGGTAAAGGCGAGGAGGGGGGGAGGAAGAAGCTGGGCTCCTATCTCCGCCAGCGGCTCAGCTGCGACTCTCCCGAACCTCCTCCGAGGTCGAACAGGGCCTCTCCGCTTCTCGTGAGGAGGGTTCCCGACTCAGAAGTTTCATCGCCTATTCTTAATAGAAGGTTTGTCCTCATCAATTTTCTATCTAACTATTCTATTCACAATATCTTAATTTTACTGTTTACTTCCATTTCTTATATAACTTCATATTTTTCTGTTTTTACACTTTATTCTAAGATTCCCATTTTAATACTTATGTCACCTTTTTTGATTATGTTTACTTCATCATTCCACACTTTGTACCGCTTATTATCATTTATCTCTTAGCTCTTACTATTGTAATTATTCTAACAACTGAATTTTACTTTAATTTTTTTTTACCTACACTACTTATGTTTCTCATACCTTGTTATCTGGTTCTTTTCTTAGCCCTGATGATGGCCTGAACTTCAGGTCGAAACGTCGGCAAATGTCAAAGTAAATATTATCATTTATTTTTGGCTTCTTATTTGACTGATCATCCCAACTATCCTTCTCTTCATTATTCACCTAAGGCCTATTTCATAAAAAATTTAATGGGGTTTATTTCAGCCCAAAAGCCCTCACAATATTTGTTACTATTTTCAATCACATGTTGGGCAGCGTTATGCTTAAAGTTCCCATATTTTACTTGTCTCTTTCTTATTTTAGTAACTTTCAAAATCAGTATCTTGAGTTTAGGCAATGGCATTACGAAACGTTCTCTTTAACCCACATTTAAACTGAAGTTATTTCTTAGGTGATAAATATTCAGGACGAAGTCATTTTTAAGGTTTTTATTAGTGCCAATGTTTCTACCCAAACATGTGGGTCATCATCAGGTTGTTTACAATCGGCACTAAACAAGTTATTTACTAAATGCACTAGCAAAAATTACATTCTTCTTGTTTCTTATGGATTTATTTGAATACCTTTTTTTTTCTTTGATGAATGAAAATAAAAGATTTTTTTCAGACATATTCAGCCTTCGCCTCCTCAACCACCACCTCGAAGGCTCTCCGAGAGCAGTTCAGTCCCAGGGTCCCCACACCACAGGAGATTGGCAGTTTTCACACCGCAGCCGTTGAGGCGGCTCTGGCCTCCGCACCACCACTAATTCAGTTCGTCGCAGTCCACCTCTCATGTCTTCTGTCCTCCTCTGCGACTGGGCATCTCTTTCATACGTACCAAAGTCTTCTCATATGAAAACTGTTTTTATTTGTATTTAATTTTTTTTTTTTTTCCTTCACTCAAGAGCTTCAGATTTGTAATTTTTTTCTACACGCTCAAACTGTGATACACCTTAATTAGTGTTTAGGTTTCTTGCAGAAGAGCTGAAGTGGTAACGTTGATTTCAAAACAATCTTTCCTCAGGAAGAGAAAAAATTAAAACAGAAAACATTATTTTAATTTTTGCCTTGTACCCCGATTGCTGTAATTTTATTTTTAAAACCTATCTTTATTAGTAGTAAATGGACTATGCACCTATCTAATAATATTATTATGACATTTGTTCTTGGATACATATCTGCCCTTTTACATAAGTTATAAGAAGGAATTTTAATAATAAATATCAAAACTACTTTTCTGCTTTACGTTATCAAAAAAAAAAAAATTTTTTTACTTTTCTCCTAACTCTTTGTCCTCCATATGTCTAATTCAGTGATATAAACACTCATAATTTATAATTTTTTTTGGATCCTTTTTGTTTGGACGCTTTGTCCCTGTTTTCTGCATATAATAAGCCACAATATTAGGTTAGACCTAAAATAAGTTAGGTCGATGAGCGACCTAATATTAGGCATAGGCATCTGGACAAGCAGTGTGGAGAAAATAAGGTTAAGTGTATAAACCTTAATTATTTTCGTGACAAATAAATTTTTAAATAATTTTTTTTTTTTTAGACAATTATGTATTTTATTACATAAATATCACTTAATATATATTTATATATATATATATATTTTTTTTTTCGCTGTAAAGGCCAGCTAAGGACCTGACATATATCATTATTTCTTTGCTTTCCGTTTTTCTGTACAATTTCTTCATTCCTCCTTCCTCTTTTCTATTCCAAGGAACTATGTCTTATTCACTTTTCTCCTGAATTTATTTTATCCCTATCTAGGTATTCATCTTCTTTTATCACAAGTCTTACAATTTCTTCCTTAATCTGTTCACGGTATCGTTCGATGTTTTGTTTCTTTACCATTTACTCATTCTATTCATGTGACCAAAGAATTTCAATCTTCTTTAGTTCATTGATATTTCTTTATCTTTATACAATTTTGATTCTTTAATTAATTTCTTTTTTTAACAGTATTTTCTGTCCAAGTGTTTTTCTTATGTCCCACGAGAATGTTTGAATTTTAAATTCATCCATGCCCTGATAGTACAGTCTCTATTAATCTTTAATTTGTTTAAAACTACTTCCCAGGCTTTTCATATGCGAGATTTCCATTTTCCCATAAATTTATCAAAGATTTTATTTTTTCCAAATGTTTTATTATATTTTACAAATTTAATATTAAAATTCCTTCAATTTCTTTTTTTCTTTTTTTTTTTTTAAATATTAAGTGGTCTGTATAAATAGTAGATAGCAATCCGTATGTTATCTCATTAGATATATTAGAAATATTGTAACATTTCTTATGTTATACTAAATTTCTTTTTGTATTATTAATTATCACCAATGAATGATTTTTATACACTTAAAATTGTACAGAAAATTTGAAGCTGATCGTACTGAAACTATTTATGGTCAATTACAGTCAAAAATCTTAATTTTTTAGAATATCTTATATTTGAATATCTGTCGAGTGTTATTCATTCGTCTTTACTAGAATCGCTTCCAAGAATGATGCTTAAAAAAAAAATAATAATAATAACATTCACGTCTGTTAAAATTAACTTGATACTTAAGCTGTAAAAAATCCAATTAAAATAATTTTATTTTATTTTCCTCTTTAAACAAAGTTATTGATATTATACAGGGTGTCTGCAGGTGGAGAAAAATGTTAAAAGTGATAGAATTTCATTATTCTGGAAGAGTTGTGGGTTTTCAATAAGTAAAGATTTTTCCAAAAATTTATTGCTGAACAATGAAAAAATAAATTCAAAATTATTTAATAAAAAAAAAAATTAAAAATTAGTTCTCCAAACAATTTTTTTTCTCTTTTATTTACTATCCGCTCTTGAGAGTTGGTATATCTTTGAATCCGTTTTTGAGTTTATTTATAAATATAAAATTTAAATATATTAATTAACACCTCAAAACATTATTCTAAAGTGGAGCAAATTTAATTTTAATTCTCAATTAACGAATCGCCTAATTAGAAATAGAGAAATATGATGTCGTTATATGCTATTAAGGTTTCACCTACCATTGAAATCAACTAAATTAAAGAATTTAAAATAATTATAAAAAATTATGTATTAAAAGAAAATACTCTTAATTATCAATTAATCTATACTTTTGAATTGTGACAAAAGATTTTTATCAAATTAAAATTTTTTTTCAATTCCTGTATTCAAGCGGCGAAGGAGAGTTTGAAATTTTATATTAAGTTAAGAAAAATCTGGGAAAATAACCAATACACTCTTGCAGGCATCCTGTATTTAAGTTATCATTAATGGAGTTTAATATAGTTGTCAAAATTAAAAATTTTAAATCTGAGGTTAGTAATTTTCGAGATCAGAAAATTTTCTAAATCGTTAGTTAACATTGCACTGATTAGATAAGTAATTCCATTTTTGCCTCTATTAAGCGTCGATTACTTCGCAAGTCGTGTCTTGTAACTTTTACAAAATTATGTCAATATATATAGTAGAGATCTGTCGTGTGAAAAAAATGTTCATATCCATTATGCCTGGAGAATAAAAAAAAAAAAAATGTTTAAATTTGATGCAAGCTTAAATCGACACATATTTTGTATTGCTCAAGACTGTGTGTCGTCCCAATCGCACTTTTCTTTTTTTTTTTGTCAATATTGCTATTAGTATTAAGATTTTAAAAATTTTGCTGCGCATGTTAGACAGGTAGTATCTACCTGAATTTTAGCCAGGGTCTTAGAATTTATTTTAAAAAATAAAAAAAAACAAAATTGGAGAGTATTATTCTGTCTCTGTATCGAGATTGGAGATTGCCTCGTGAAAAACATAATTTGCTCAAATGACCAATTATCGCATCATTATATTTTTAATAAAACTACGGAAGAAAAAAAAGGTAATAGTTCTCTGATTTTTTTTTTTCCATATATCTTAATTTCTTTAATATATTTCTAATTTTTTTTTTCCTGTAAGCATTACGGGCAGAAAAATGGATTGTTCTAATTGTTTGAGAAAACGATCCTTACCCAAACTGCTTTGCTATTATATTACATTACCGGTATTATTATTATTATTATATTATAATACCGTTGTGACGAAGATAATAAAGACATTGTCCAAATATAGTTTTACGTGTGATATATTAGCTTTCTAGTGGAGACTGGCCACCGCCGACAGTCAAGGATACAAAAAGGTTTAGTTTAGACCTGTTATCGCTTTCATGATATGAGAACCGCTTGGTATGTACGACATATTGTAAATTTATTTGGGGGTGTTTATTGTTCTCCGTCGTTTTTTGCCTTGCTTAAGTTGACGTTGCCGAAAGTATTAGGTAGTGCCAAAGGGAATGAATTTAAAAATAGGTAAAGGTTCTCTATATACCATCATTTTAAAGTCAAAAACTTAAATTGCTATGTATTAATTACCTTTTTGAATATTAACTATCCATGTATTTATTATTCTAGTCTTAAAATGTTTTGCAATGATGGCATATTTCATTTATTTTTATTTTTGCCATTGATTTTAAAAAGAATCAGATATGTCGCTGAAAGTGCAAAACAGTCTGGCTTCTCTGCCCTACTTCTCTTCCTTATTTCGCATACTCTTTATTGTTTTGAACTCTTATGTATTCCTCATATAGTTAAATATCTTATAAGGATTGATTAAAGTTATTATTTAATTTTTATAATCATTTATAAAAATATTTAATTATTAAAAATAAGGTACCTTTGATTAGTTTAGTTTTCCTCGAGATCCAGAAATAAGATAAAGAATTGTTATAAATTGAATAAATAAATTTTATTTAGGAATGTTTAAATATAATTGTTATTGTTTAAATAAATTAAATAATGACTTATTAATCTCTATAAAATATTTAATTATCAGAAGAAAAGAGTTCAAAACAAAAGATAGTACGGAAATAAGGTAGGGCTGAAAAAACCAGGCTGTTTCTAAGGGACTCAGCACCTTTTCCAGTTCTTATTAAAATTGGTGATTTTTTTCATATTCTTTCTAATTTGTTTTGAAATTTAATATTTTTAAAGCTCAATGATTTTACTATTATTTGATATATCCTCTAGTTTTAAATTTACTTAGATAATTATGTTTTAGGAATGACTGATATATATGTGTGTGTTACTGATATATAAGCATATGTGTATAATATAACCACATATACACACGCACACGTGTATATTATTTTATTTTTTTGGTTTGTTATACCGTGATTTAAATTCTTTTAAAATAAGATTATTTATGTTAAAATGTTATAAGTTTTATTTATTTTATCTTATAAGGCAAAATGATTCCCCCTCCCCCTCCCATTAATAATGTGTAATTATTTAGATATTATAAAGTCTCAAATTTTATTTGCCTTTATTATTAGTACGAGTTGTTTTTATTTTAGTTTTATTGAATCCTTGTCGATAGTTCTTTTTAATCTGATCCTCATGGATAAAAAAAAATATATAAAAAATAAGGGCAATATTTTTGGCATTATAGGTTCTAATCGTCATTATCATATGTATATATTTAAAATTGAATACATCTTACAAAAAAAAATGTATTTATGTTATATATATATTATTATGTATAGAATAACTAAAGAAAAAAAGTAATTAAATAGTTTTTGTAATATAACTGTTGTCGCCAGAGCAAATAAATTTTCCAGAGTTTTGATTTTATGTACATGTGTAAATACATAAGTTTCGATAGTGTATATCTTAACAAATGTGATAATTTCACTCTATAAGGATGATTGATTTTTCATTTATAGTAAAAATTGTATTTAATTAGTGTATTTTTTTTTTTTTTTAATGATTATTTGTCAGTAGAATAACATTGTTGATAATTTTCCAGCTCGGCCTCTTTACAGAATATATATATTATTTTTTTTTTTAATTTATAAAACTGTAAACTGTTTTATAGTTATATTTTTTTGATTAATAAAGTTGTAATTTTCCTTTAAGGCACGTGTAGAGAGAAGAAACGGAACAAAAAAAAAAATTGTGGTCTGAATGACCAAGCCTGATAAGTGCTTCCGTATATTCTGCTATCTAGTCAAATCTCCTTTCTATATTGATTTCCTTTATTGATTGCAGGGACTGAGGAGAAAAAAAAAATTATATATATAATGCCATAGAAAATGATTTCTTTATTTAAAATTTTCCTCTTCTAGCTCCTTGATCCTCTTATCCTTCTTTATTTTATAAAATGGAAGAAAAAATATAATGGGACCCTATCTGTATGTGACAGACCTCGACCCCGCATTGTGAGAATGGCAAATGCTGTGAGAGCAGTGGCTGCTCGAATCAGAAGAAATCCCATTCGGAAACAACAAATCATGTCTTGTATAATAAAATGTGACCTTAGGATGGGTGCATTTCGAAGAATGATAGGACAAATGCTAACCAACCTAAAAAAAATTAGAGTGGACAGATGCAAAGTGATCCTTGGCCGTTACACCAATCGTCTTCGTTGAAAGATTTTGTTTAGTGATGAGCACTAGCAGATCCAGGATTTAATTTTGGGGGAGGCTTCAGCCC